TTTTGGTATTTTAACAGTAACACAATAGTAACACAAAACTAACACACAGCTATGATTAAAACAAAATACTTAAATCAAATGGATCAATGCAGTTGAAAACAACGTACAAAATCTTTACTTTATTAAAACATTCTAAAAAGCTGCCTCACAATTTAAAATATATTTACATGAATATAATTATTTTAAAAATAAGCTTGATTAAATAGGATAAGAAAATACACTATACAGCAAAACTTACACTCAACTTAAAATCCAAACTAAACATAAAACTTGTTATTGAAAACATTAAGCATAGTTCTTTAAAAAGATACATCTTAAAAAGTAAATCTCTTATATGGATAAATGTCATTTCATAAATAGGAAATTTTACAAGACATTTAAAAGTACTTGGTAATAAATCATAATGACAAGGATCATTTAGGACACACACAACATAGATTTGACCATTACTGTAAAACTCTGTTATAAAGAAGTCACTGGGACCTGGAAAATTACTTTGCTATATCTGTAATTCGCTATATCCATATAAGGAATTCGCTAAATTTGTGTAGTTGGGAATCCATGATAACTTCGCTATATCCATGAATTTGCAATATCCGCGTTCGTACTAACCGAGTTTTAATGTATTATTTCCTGTCTCCTACATTAAAGCAAGTCTTATAATTTCAATGATACTGCACTTCTCTAATTTTCCAGAAATAAATAACAACAACCAGGGTTATGTCGCAGGTGCTTGTGGAACCCCCACCCCACCCCATCCCCCCAAAAAATGTGTGTTCCACCTGAAAAATCCTTAAAAAATAACGTAGAATTAACCTTTTATTTAAACAAGTACTCAAGGTATTATTTAAATATAGTACTATATCACTTTCATTTTTTCTCAATTTTTAACACCTTGGTAATACAATTTTTAATCTAGAAATCATGATCTTGATTAAACTGAGAAAAATACACTAATACATAGGGAAAAAAATATTAACAGAACATTTGTTGTGCATGTCCATAACATCAATCAATTTTAAATTCATTGTCAATGTTAAAACATCATTTGGAAAAGGAATATACAATTTTTTTTTCACTAGCAAACCACCGTAATACATGCAAATCAAAGCAAAGATTATTTCTGGGCCATATTTTATATGTTTCCTTGCCCTCTCCCAACTCAGACTGTCTAAGGGTAAATTACTGGGTTGGTAGGTAGGTTGGAAAATCTTTTTCCATAAAATTTTAAAATATTTCTTGATGGAATAAGAGGAATAAAACTAAAAAAAAAAGGCAAAGAAATGGAGTCCTGAAACATACATGTTAACCTATTGTGATGAAAAATAGGGAGATTCAGACCTCAAAAGCGGTAGCATTGTGCGTGCGTTGTTTTATGCTTGGATTACCGACATATTTCATGTAATATATACATGTATGTAGCTTTAAAATAAATGAAACCTACAATAATTAATCTTGAATATCAACTGCAAAGAAGAAGACAGAAACACCTTAAGTTTGACATAAATTGTACAAATTCAAATATTTTTCATGCTCATCATTTTGCTTGGATTGGCTGTTTAACTTAGCCTTTTGAAGAGTGATCTTTGCCAATATAGCTAGAAGCAATACAATGAAGCGCATTGAAGTGGTAAAATTTTCTACTTGGATGGAACGTTTTGAGCTAGTACTATCATTCCAATAACAGCGTGTCACTTTGCTTAACCGAGCGTGGTGAAGTTTCACATGTTGATTACCATATTACTCATCGATTGGATGTTTGATTTCAATGAAAGCAATACTACTTTGCATATGAAACATGTGAAATACAGAACCCAGCAATACCATTCATAATACTGACCAATCGTATTGAATGATTGTTCAGGAGAATGCAGTAAACAATAATCACATGTGGACAGGCAAAGCAAGTTTTAATCCTTATAATGACAGACTTGATCGCTATATATACAATATGATTGTACATTATAATAGTTTCAAAGTATAGCTTTACTTATTTCATGCTTTAAATATTCTCATTCGTATCAAAGTTAACTCCATTCGGTCAAGTTACAAGAAATATGACACGTGCTTTTTTCTAGAAAGTAAACGGGCTTTGAGTGACCACGTGTTGCCGGTGAATACAAATGCTACGCTGGAAAACGATCATTAAATACGATTGGTCAGTGTTATCGGCGTATTGTTGGATTCTGTTTTTTATATGCAAAGTAGTATTGATTTCATTCAAATCACACATCCAATCGATGAATGATATGGTAATCAATTTGTGAAATTTTTACCACGGTCGATCAAGCAAAGTGACACGCTGTTATTGGAATGATAGTATCTTAAGACATGCCCATTTCTTTAGAAAAGAAAAATCGGTCAAATGATTCAATCAAATACCTGTAGAACAGGTATTTCGTAAATATAATAGCCAATGAAATTGACGGTCTACATAAACTCGGAGTAAGCATGTGTTCGACTGATACATGTGCTATATATATGCGAACTCCAATAAACATGATAAAATCGTAATTACATGTATGTACAAATTCGTTGCAATGCGTGTTTTACCATGTTTACATAAGTGGGAACTCTATACATAACTCATGTTGCTTGTCGCGGAAAGTGTAGTGTCCTGAAACATTACGAAGAATATTCCTTTCTCGTTTCTAAAGAAATGGGCGTGTCGTTATGTTATTATTCACGTTCAAAACATGACTCAGAACGTTTCGTCCAAATGGAAAATTTTACCACTTCAATGCGCTTCATTGTAATTCTGAATGTTCATTCAGTTGTTAAACAAAACAGACAAGTTCCTATCTTTCGTTATATAAATCAGATGATCGAAAACGAAAGTACAGATGTGCCACATAGCTTTGTCAATCGAGTGATTTCTATTGACTTTATTGATAAAATTGTGAGCTCCTGTGCTTTTATAGACGATGCCTTGAACGTTTTCATCTAATTATAAAAAGCTGTATCTCCTTTTTCATGGCAGTGATGTTGACTAAATTTGTTGTCGTTGTCTAATTCGTGTTTGAAATCTATGTACACATCGATACAAAAAAAAGCGTTCGTATGCTTCTGAGTCAAATCACGCGATATCTAACGAGATTTTATAAAAGTGGCTTTAAAAATGGATACCCAAGCAAACCAAAAATACTTTAGAGGCAACTTTTGTAGAAAAGCGGTAGATTTCTGAATTAAATCGGTAGGCGGGAGATGGAGTGAAAAAGCGGTAGACTCCCGCCTAAATCGGTAGAGTTAAGGTTTCGTCAAAGGTCAACATGACCAAAAAATTATTTTTACAATAGCCCCAAAACTATGTAAGGTATAAAGTTAAAACTTTTACAGTTTATAAATTATTTATTGATTAACAGATAGAAAGTATCACTTGATAAAAAAAAAAAATACTTGGAATAATATTAATTGAGAAAAAATCTTAATGCATATATTTTCAAAAAAATTCACCTAATTAATTCCGTGCTTTTAGTGAAAACAATCATTGCAGAAACAAAATATGTTTATCAATGAAGGGCAAGTTGGACTTGGATAGCCTCTGGAAAGTTGTTTTCCCTGTTTATTTTGTCCAAATGTTAAGACTTGAAAGTGAAAGTACACTACAAATGGCGGATTCTATAGGGGTCTTGTCTTTATACATGTCATGTTTTCAATAACAGCCTTTCAGAGACCATTCACGTCCAACTTGCCCTTCAATGATAAACATATATTATTTCTACAATGTTGGTTTTCACAAAAAACACAGAATAAAGCAGGTGCATTTTTTTAAAATATGCACATTTTCTGATACAATTTTTCTCAAAAAATATCTTTTTAAAAATATTTGATATCAAGTAAATCTTTCTTCTATCTATTAATCAGTGATATATTTACAAAATGTAAACGTTTTGACTTCATAACACACATAGTTTTGGAGCAATTGTAAAAATAATTTTTTAGACATGTTGACCTTTGACGAAACCTTAACAAGTATGCCTGAAAGGTAAAAAAAAAAAAAAAAAGAGACAGTTTATTGATAGTCAGTTGGAGGAAAAGGGCAACTAAACCTTTTTTTAAAGTAAACCTGGGATTAGTATAAATGTCCACTACTTCATGACAAATTAAAAAAATTATATTACTACAAACTTCTTTTTTTTAAATATACACATGAATATACAAAGAAACAACATTTTACATGTTCAGCAATTAAAAGTACTATGAAATATTGAACAAATAATCTCAATAGCTAATACTGGAATTATCAGAAGTGAATTGCAAGGTAGCAAATGGAAATAACTTCTCTTGAAAAATTATAAATAACAAGAGATGTTTGTAAAACACTTACGCCCCCCTCCCCCACAAATTGAAATTTTTCTAAGTCCAAAAGGGCATAACTCTGTGAATTATGGTGCGGTCGTACCCAAAACAGAGCTTGACCTAGATATTCATCTGACTAATCTGTATATTAAATTCCATTTCAATATGTGCAACCTGTCAAAAGAAAATGATCAGAAACTGCAAGTAATTGGAATTTTTCTAAATTGGAATTTTTCTAAATCCATGGAGCATAACTCTGTCAATTATGGTGTGATCGTACCCAAAACAGAACTTGACCTAGATATTCATCTAACTAATCTGTATACTAAATTCCATTTCAATATGTGCAACCTCTCCAACAAAAATGAAACTGCAAATAGGAATTTTTCTAATTGCATGGGGCATAACGCTGTCAAAACAGAACTTGACCTAGATATTTATGTGATATACATGTATACCAAATTTCATTTCCGCATGTGCAACGGTTAATTATGAAGAAAATGAACGGAAACTAAATGGACCGACCGACTGACAGACAGCAGCAAAGCAATATGCCCTCCCTTCTTCGAAGGGGGGCATAAATATGAAAGAAATCATCAGATATATTTTAGATGCCTTTCGCAACCTCCCACAAAAATTGTCAGAGTTGGGTGCTCTGCAAACATATTTTACACTGTCAACTAAATTAAAAATTTAAAAAATATATTTAATTAGTACTACCAGGAGACCATTTCTTGAAGATGCTTTGTAGTGCTTTCAGATTATCCTTATACCACTGATTCCTTTGCAGATTTTCCCATTTTTTGACAAATTCCTGGTAATCTTCTTTACACTGTCCTTTTACATCTAATCTATCAACAGCTTTAAAGAGCACTTTAAATAATCTTGTATATCCATCTATAGATACTTGTGCTGGATTTGCAATTTCTCTATACAGTTCATGAACTCGATACAATCTCTCTACATCATCTCCAACCCCAGTGTCTCTGTCCTTGATCTCTTGACCCCAACCAGACTTGGGTTGATGTCCCTTGTCAAGTGACAACTGCAATATCGCATACATTACAGGAATAGATTTTTTAATTGAATCAATACTGACAGATGATTGATACTCTGTTGGTAACAATTCCTTGACTTTAGATATTTTTGATTCATCAGTAAGGTAACTCTGTAGGTCTGTCACATGGGATTTTAAAACTTGATAAAGCATTTTCTTTGCTAGTCTTGTAGATACTTCTTCCAGAAAATCATGTAAATCCTGGGAACCACCTTCCTCTTCATCTACAATGTAAGAAACTCTTACACTTACATATAATTTTTTTCATATAAATGAAATCATTTAATCAAGAGGCCTAAGGGCCTTGAATTGTTCTTCTGATTAATTGCACAATCTATCACTTCTCTGTGAAGCCTCTAAGTATCCTGTATATATAAATAAAGCCTTGAAATTCCAAAAGTATGTCATTATGACCTATATTTTGGTTAAAAAACTCCAACACCCAGGATAATAAACTGACAAAGTGTGATGATTCTAAGCCTCTTATTATATGAAATATGAAGATAAAGCCATGAGAATTCAAAAGTAGGTCACAGTGACCTAAGTTTTGGTAATCATACTCTCACACCCCAAAATGCCTCTGTGGCAACGCTTTTTGAAATCTTTTTTCAAAGTGCGTTAAAATTGGGACAAAATCAACGCACTTTGAAAAAATTTTCAAAGTGCGTTAAATTTTGGACACACTCAATGCACTTTGAAAAATATTTTCAAAGTGCGTTAAGAGTGTACATAAATATATTTTACCATGGAGGCATTTAATGCACTTTGAAAAAATATGTATAAACAAAAAATTCTAGACTTACATTTTAGTAATGGAGAGAATCAATTTGTAATAATTATATCTTTCGAAAAACTTTTTTAATTTACATGTACTAATTTAACCTCACTGAGAACAAGGAGAAGACGAGTAGAAGGTCTCTCATCCTAAATCTTTTTTCTTAAACATTGTACGAGGGCCGTTCAAAAATTACGCGGACTGTGCTATTATTTACTCTTACAGACGTCAAATAGTTATAAAATTTCACAGAAATATGTATCGTAAAGATTCCAATAAATTTTGGGAAAAATTTCTGTATTTAAAAAAAAAATCTACTAAAATTATCGGTATGTTGATATCGTTGATGGAGAGGTATGGCGCACGACAAAAAAATTTAAGCGAAAGCATGCAGGTTCAAAAATTTAACTCATTGATTTTCTAAAATTCGCGATATTTTTCAACAATTTTCTCAAATGTACCTTTAAATTGTTCTATTATTATGTATTTAGATTTCGGACGTTTTATTTGAAGTACTAACAGAAATGTACGGATTTTTCTTTGAAGCAATTCCCGTGAAAACGACTGTGAAAATGACATCTCTTGAATTGACGGCGCACCACACTTTTTTAAAATATGTGTAATGCTCGGGACTGTAAAGAACGTGATTGAGAGTCACCAATATCACACTATATCTCATAAGTAGTTTTTGGCTTTAAAACAAAAAAAAAAGAATATTCTTTACTTGTTTAATAGATTTTTGGCTTGCCAAGAAATGGTGTTTTGATGCTTTGATGTGATAAGGTAACTCAAACTATACAGGTACTCAAGGGAAAATGTTGAGAAAATGAAAGCTCAATCACATATTTTTTATAATGCTTGTGACGTCGAAGATTTTGCTGCGTATGGTAATGGTATGTCCTGAAAAATCACTCAAAATTAATACCAATTTACAACATTTTGATATGAAATTTTGAAGGCCATATAAGTAAAGATTTTTTTATATTATTTGTGAAATTTTGCCTGATTATGTCGTCAAAAATTTCTTCTGTGCAACAAGTCCACGTAATTTTTTAACGGCCCTCGTACATAGCAGTCGGTAGCAAATTGAAAGTTGACCCCCCAGGTAAGCTCCAATTTTTAACAGGTCGGAGAGAATACTCGAAATCGGGTATTATCCGTGAAATCGCATATAATTTTTGATATTAAGGTATCGTTGAATCCGCGAAATCGGGTATAGGAGGTGTAATCACCTAAAAAAATTAAAACAATGGGATGGCGTATGTTGCCGAGTTAACTTTCATCTGGATACACATTTTCTAAAGGTATCACTAGCCAAGTAAGAATTTGGGCACCAAGATTAATGCACTCGGGACAACAAATACCCGTGGAGCTCAGTACATTTCAGGATCTGCACACAAAAGGGCGTTCAATTTGCTTTATATTTTTCCATATGTTGAAAGTATATGCATCTTCCTAACGTTCATTCCCAACACAACAGAATTGTAAAGTATCAGAATTCGGGAATTTATAATAATTCCACATCGACACGACAAACATGAACAATTTGTAAATAAATCAAATTATAGGGAAACACATTTCACACACCAGATATAATGCCATGTATAAACAAGGGATTGTCTATCGTATCTAATTATGCGTCATTAATTACTTTCACATTCATCTTGTGCATAAAATCAAATTTAATTATGAATTTATAAATAATGAAATGATAACAAGAGGCCCATGGGCCACATCGCTCACCTGAGAAGCTTTGGCCATTCTGTTCTTTACCAGATTTCCCCCTTGTAATACATATTGTGACCCCACCCTACCCCACTGATCATAATTTAAACAATTTGAAATCTACACTACCCCAGTATGCTTCCATATAAGTTTCAGCTTTGATTTTCAGATTTTTTATATATATTTCTATGTAAAACATTGATTCCACATTGTGGCCCCGCCCTATCCCCGGGGGTCATGATTTGAACAATTTAGAATCTTCACTACCCCAAAATGCTTCCACATACGTTTCAGCCTTTTTGACCCAGTGGTTCTTGAGAAGAAGATTTTCAAAGATTTTTCCTATATATTTCTATGTAAAACATTGATTCCACATTGTGGCCCCGCCCAACCCCCGGGAGTCATGACCCTAACCCTATCCCTGGGGGTCATGATTTGAACAATTTAGAATCTACACTACCCAAGGATGCTTCCACATAAGTTTCAGCTTTTCTGGCCCAGTGGTTCTTGAGAAGAAGTTTTTCAAAGATTTTTCCTATATATTTCTATGTAAAACATTGATTCCACATTGTGGCCCCGCCCAACCCCCGGGAGTCATGATTTGAACAATTTAGAATCTATACTACCCCAGGATGATTTCATATAAGTTTCAGCTTCTCTGGCCCAGTGGTTCTTGAGAAGATTTTTTAATGACCCAACCCTATTTTTGTCTTTTCTTGATTATCTCCCCTTGCGAGGGGATATGTCCCTTCATTTTAACAATTTAAATTCCCCTTCACCCAAGAATACTTTGTACCAAGTTTGGTAAAAATTGGCTCAGTGGTTCTTGAGAAGAAGTCGAAAATGTAAAAGTTTACAGATGGACGGATGGACAGCTAGACGGACAGACGGACGACAGACAAAATGTGATCAGAAAAGCTCGCTTGAGCCTTCGGCTCAGGTGAGCTAAAAGTGTCTAAAATTTCGGCTAAAAGAACCCTTTTTCTCTTTTTTTGAAAATCTTTTCTTTTTTATTTATCATTCAAACATATTTGCAGAATATGTCTTCAACATTTTAGCAGAGACAGTGATAGCTTCAGGAATACAGCTTATGAGAGAACATAACTGTTGATTGTTTAATTTCGCTAAGTCATCAATATTTTACCATTTCTTGGTGACTTCAAAGGGGGGGGGGGGGTGCTAAAGGCTCCGTGACCACCTCAGACAAAACAACCTCGACTGTGTTCTACATGTGTCCACGAGACCTCTCTTTGAATGTCACGGTCGGTTAAACTCCGCCATATATTTTTAAGAAACCTCTCTACACTGCACACTAAAGAGTTCTGATTCTAAGGTATTTTTCTGCAGTTAGAGTGATCTGCCCTTTGAACTAAATTCTAAACAAGAGGCCCAGGGGCCACAGCGCTCACCTTAGCATATCGGGCTTTAATTTACCCCCCCCCCCCCCAGGCATTCATCATTTGAACAAACTAGAATCTACACTACCTGAAGATGATTCCATATAAATATCACTAATCATAGCTTTGAAGTACTTGAAAAGAAAATTTTTAAAGGTTTCCCTATATATCCCTATGTAAAACTTGGATCGGCGATTTTGGCCCCACCCTAGCCCCGGGGGTCATAATTTGAACAAACTTGAATCTACACTACCTGAGGATCATTCCACATGAGTTTCATCTTTCCTAGCCCAGTGGTTCTGGAGAAGAAGATTTTTAAATATTTTTCCTATATATTCCTATGTTAAACTTCAGTCGGCCATTTTGGCCCCACCCTAGCCCCGGGGGTCATAATTTGAACAAATTTGAATCTACACTACCTGAGGATGATTCCACATGAGTTTCATCTTTCCTGGCCCAGTGGTTCTTGAGAAGAAGATTTTTTAACAAGAGGCCCATGGGCCTTATAGGTCACCTGAGCATTATGCAACAATTTTCCAGTGATTGAATTTGATTCATGATTTAAGCCAGATGCTATGGCATTCAAAATTTTGAAAGAGGCACCATTGATCATCATAACAATACACTTAGCAGTTGCTTAGTTTGTTTACTTAATACCCATACGCAGGGTGAGGGAACACAAAATGCATTTCAACTAATCAGTAATATTCAGCAATAATCAGTAGTGCCCCTACCATACATGAACCCCTGATCCTTAGGCCTTGATATTTAATTAATACCAAGGAGCCTATATTTCAAACCATTCATTCATTTTCAGTATATATATATATACAACCCCCACCTCTATGGTTCCCCTGACCCTGGGGCCTTGAAATTCACAATTGTGGAAGATATGGGCCCTTGTCCATCATAACTATATTGGTAGTTCATCTGCTTAATACCCTGGAGCAGAGAAGAAAATTTTCAAAGATTTAATGTATTTTCACTATATAATCAATAGAGCCCCGCCCTAACACCAGAACCCCTGACCCTGGGGCTATAAAATTCACAATTATGGAAGAGGCATTCTTGCTCATCATAACTTTTTACTTAGTTAGTTTATTTATTTCCTAGGAGCAGAGGAGAAGATTTTCAAAGAAACTAGTGCTAATTGTAACGGGAACCGTTACAGATGTTCCCCAAACGCTCCCCAACTCCCTTTTGGTGCCATATTCAATTTAGGCCCTATTAAATAAGACAACATCTGTGCATTTTTGCCTTTAACAAGGTTTTCCCAGAGGGATACCAATTATATTCAAATTTTAACATTGCATCTACAATTTTCTAT